CTCTTATTTATCTTTGTATTTATAGATAGTACACTTTTGTTAATTGTTTTGTTGAATAAAGTTTCAAAAAGGCAAAATTCCAAAATAACTGATAATGGTATAAGGAGCTTATATAAAATCTATAGTTTTAAAAATTATTTAAATTAGGATTTGCACATGCAAACTTATAGTTTTTTGGACCACATTCACCATCTTTCTTGTATCTGTGTCCAGTTTTTGCTGACTTACAAATATGAACAAGTAGGATCTAGGTTAATACAGATAATTTCTAGAGTGGATAATTAAAAGTTGATTGGTCTTTCACATCCTTTTCTTGAAATGGGGTTTTCCCCCATTAGGCGTAATCTTAAATTGTGCTGCCTGTGGTTTTTTACCTTGCTTTTCATAATGTTTTGTTTACGCGTGAAATTCTATTTTAGAATCAGTAATAAGTGAAAGCTATAATCTCATTGAAATCAGTGTGCCATTGAATTTATTCTTTATTTTCTTGATACAGTTTCTTGCCTTATATAAATGTTTTGGGAATAAAAACAAATGCTTTATTCTCTCTTGTAAAACTATTTCTGCTAACAGGTATTTTTCTATGTGAAAGATTTTTGTTGCCAAAATAAGCTATAGTTTAAATTGTTATTGTATGTAGTAATGGAGAAGTCTAGTCACTTCTTGGTCCTATCTGACTTTTATTGTCTCTCCCCCTCCCTTAGAAAAATATCTGATTATTTTTTGTTTGTTTTTTGTAGAGATGGGTTCTTCTTATGTTGCCTAGGCTGGTCTTGAATCAGCTTAAGCAGTCTTCCCTCCTTGGCATTCCAAAGTGCTTGAGTTACAGGCATGAACCACCCCCCCACTCAGATTTTTTGTTACTTGGTTAGCAGTCATGAATGTATAAGTAGTATCTCTCTTAAGTACCAACCATGTGGGGAGAATATTTCAGTAGCAGAAGTGGTAATAGCTACTCTATCTTTTCTAGAGAATAAAAGTACTTCACCACTGAAATTGAAAGAGAAGGAAATTCTATATAAAAATACCCTTTAAAAATAATTTGAATTTAAATTTTTTTACTCTTCCTTTTTAAACCGTTAATGACTTCATAAATGATTGCAAAATTTCTTCACTGTGTCCACAAGGACCCTTTCCGTAAAGCATTGTTTTTTGTGTTTTGGGTTTTTTTTTGAGCTTGAAACAACCAAAGCATGCTATTGGAAGGGCGTATGGTGGATTAACCAGATTTTATAGACCTTTGCTGTGATTGTTTTCCATTTTCTCCCACCTTTCATTTTATTTTTTATTTTTTTTATTTTTGAGTTGGAATCTCACTCTGTCGCCCAGACTGGAGTGCATTGGCCGCTCCCGGCCACCGCAGCCTCGACCTGCTGGGCTCCGGCGATCCTTCCGCCTCAGCCTTCCAAGTAGCCGGAATTACAGGCATGCGCTACCACCCCCGGCTGATTTTTTGATTTATTGTAGAGATGAGGTCTCGCTGCCCAGGCGGGTCTCGAACCCACAGGCTCAGGCAATCCACTCACCTCAGCCTCCCAAAGGCACGGGATTACAGACTGCGCCACCGAGCCCGGCAACCACCTTTCATTTTAAAATGAAAATTCTAGGGGAAAATTGGGAAGTAATCTGAATGACAACATAGTGTTATTAGTACTTAAAGGTGGTAGTTGAACTATTTGCTTCAAGATAGTTTATTAACTTTTAAACAACAAACTAACTCTAGTTATATATTAATTAATCTGGTTTCTCTACAAGCTGTTAGCTGAGCATGTAGGTGATTTGTGTCTTTCTGATATATAAGCTTTAAATTTTCTAGAAATCCTATTTAAACAGTCAAAAGACAGATGAAATTATTATTATTAGTTTATGTTCTGTTTTGATTTAAGGGGTATATGTGCAGGTTTGTTACATAGGAACGTTGCATGATGGTGAGGCTTGGGCTTCTATTGAGCCTGCCACCCAGGTGGTAGGCATGGTACCCATAAGTAGTTTTCTTCCATTATCCCCCTCCCACCCTTCCCCCTTTTTAGGAGTGCCCCAGTGTCTGTTCCCATTCTTTTTTTTTTTTTGAGTTGGAGTTTCACTCTGTCACCCAGGCTGGAGTGCAGTGGGGCTCCCTCATGGCCACCACAGCCTCTTCCACAGCCTCTTCCTGCTGGACTCCGGCTATCCTTCTGCCTCAGCATTCCAAGAAGCTGGAACCACAGGCATGCACCACCATCCCCAGCTAATTTTTTGGTTTGTTATAGAGACAGGTCTCTCCAAGTTGACCTGGCTGATCTTGATCCCCTGGGCTCAGGCAGTCCTCTCATCTCTGCCTCCCAGAGTGCTGGGATTACAGGCATGAGCCATCATGCCTGGCTATTGTTCCCATTCTTGTACTCTTGTGCATACAGTGTTTACCTCCCACTTATTAGGGAGAACATATTGTGTTCAGTTTTCTGTTTATTTGACAGTATTCAGTTTTCTGTTTATTAGTTCCTGCTTTTGCCTCCCAAAGTATTGGAATTACAGGCATTAGCCACTACTCTCAGCCAACAGGCATTGTTTTGTATATTAACAGTTCATTTTATTTTTCTCTTTATCTCTTTTTTTAGTCAGAGTCTCACCCTGTTGCCCAGGCTGGAGTGCGGTAGAACAATCACTGCTCATGGCAACCTCAACCTCTTGGGCTCAGGCCATCCTTCCTTCTTAGCCTCCTGAGTAGCTGACCCTACAGGTGCACACCACTATGCCCAGCTAATTTGATTTTTTGTGGAAATGAGGCCTTGCTATATTGCCTAGGCTAGACTCAAACTCCTGGGCTCAAGCAATCCTCTTGTCCCGGCCTCCCAAAGTGCTGGGGTTATAGGCCTGAGTCACCATGCCCAGCCTGTTTCTCATTTTCTGTTAGGGAATTGGTCTTTTATTGTGTTAATTTGAAAGACCTTTTTTTATATTAAGGATATTAATCTATTATGTGTTACAAATACATTTCCCCAGTTTACCATTTGCCTTTTATCCTTGTTGCAGATTGTTTTCTTATTAACACTCCTACATTTTTATTTAGTGAATTGAAATTTGCTAGCTTTTCTTTGATTTTGTCTTTAATGTAACTGCCTACATCCCTACAGGATTATACATTTGTCCAAATATCATTTTATCTCTTCTTTCCTTACTGACTTAAAATGACTGTTTTAATAATTATGAGATACCTATCTGGGATTTATTTTCTGATGTATATTATTTTCTACTGTTCTGTCCTTAGTGTATGACAGGTAACGTTAACTTCTTGTAGGGCAAGTGTTTAGTTTCAGACACTGGTTTGTATTATTCAAGATGAATTTTAGAATTATTTTGTCAAGTTGAGTGCTCCCCTCTCTCCAGCAAAAGGAAAAAAAAAGATTGTCTTTTTATTGAAATGCTTTAGATTACAGTTTTACAATTTGGTGTTTCTTAATGAGTTTGTGTCATTCTTATTAAAGTTTATTTGTAGTCATTTGTGGTATTATTTTTCTATTTTGGAGTCACTTAAATTTTATTTTCTAATGAATCGTTGCTGGATATGTGAAGTCTTTTACTTTTTTGTATACTGATTTTTCTCCAACCCAACTACTCTCTCTTCATTCCTTTGGATTTTCCAGGAAGATAGTCATCAACTCGTAATTATGTTTTTTTTCCTCTTTCAGTATTTGTACTTTGCTTCAACTTTACTTATAACTTCAGGAACCGAGTTAGTAATAATGAACATTTTGTCTTATACATAATACCTTGCATTTTCTTAGTATATGTGACATTTGTTGTTGGTTTCAGAGAGGTATCATAGTAAATTTTGAAGAAAGAATTCTTCTGTTGCAAGTTTACTAAGAGTTCTTTGCTCTTCTTAAAATTAGAAAAGTGATCATGAGGCTGGCTCATGCCTATAATCCCAGAGCTTTGGGAGGCTGAGATGGGAGGATTGCTTGAACCTAGGAATTGGAGACCAGCTTAGGCAACATAGTGAGATGTTGCTTCTACAAAAAAAATCAAAAATTAGCCAGGCATGGTGGCTTTTGCCTGCCATTTCAGCTACTTGGGGGACTGAAGTGGAAGGATCACCTGAGTCCAGCAGGTTGAGGTTGTGGTGAGCCGTGATTGTACCACTGCACTCCAGCCTGGGTGACAAAGTGAGACCCTGACTCGAGGAGAAACCGATTACAATCTATGTATGTTCAGATGCCTTTTTTTGTTATGATATCAAGAGTTTTTCTCAGCTAGATGTAATGAATTTTGTTCACTTTTCCATTCTTAAATAAATTAAAAAAAAAATAGAGACAGGACCTTGCCATGTTGCCCAGGCCGGTCTCCAGCTCCTGGATTCAAGCAATCCTCCTACTTTGACCTCCCAGGGTGGTGAGATTACAGGCATGAGCCACTGCACCTGACCTGCTTTTCCATTCTTGAATTGCTATGTAAAACTTTACTTGATTATCTTATCTCTAGTTTCATTTAGAACTTTTTAATCTCATGAGTCCATTTGTATAGCTTATATATGTATGTGTGCTATGTGTTATTTTAGGTTTTTGTAGCAGGCCTAAGTTGGTTCTATAAAATAAAGTTGTAATTTCAAATTACATTTTCCCCCAAATACTCTACAACTAAATACTCTGAAGCTGTATAAACAGAATTGAATTATATGTTTATTGCAGGCTTTAGAAGTCACCTAAAGTCCATCTGGTCCCACACACTTTGTCTAAAACAGTTAAGAAATTATTTTTCATTAATCATATCCAGGACCATGTAGTGTGAAAATCAGCCATGTTGACTTTTAAAAATCATAACACTTTTCTTTAAGAAAATTGGTTAGATTTCCTTGGGATGTATTTATTCATATTAAATTCAGAGAGAAAGATGAATGTTATTAATGTAATAAAATAGCATTTATTTTCAAGGATTAATTATCCCCGCCACCAGCATTTTATTGTTAAAAATTCTGACATTGTAGGTATAAGTTTTTAATGTATTATTTATTCTCATTCTAGGGGCATTTTACCTGGTGTTTGAATATATGGACCATGATCTGATGGGACTACTGGAATCAGGCTTGGTTCATTTTAATGAAAATCACATAAAGTCATTTATGAGACAGCTCATGGAAGGTCTGGATTATTGTCATAAGAAGAACTTTTTGCATAGAGATATTAAATGTTCGAATATCCTTCTAAATAATAGGTATGGCTATGAGCTTGATATATATATATGTGTGTGTATATATATATAATATGTTTACGATGAGTGTTATATAATGTATATCCTAAATCTGTTCAAAGAATTTAGAATTCAGTTCATTTCTTACAAAGCATTTTAACATAATCAACACAGTATTACAGCTTGAGTCACCTCTGAAGTTGTGATAAATATATTTTAGTTAAATTAACTCCCAATAATAGTTTGTAATATACATAAAATAATATTCAGTAGACTTTTGTTTGGTATTCTTCTAAGTAATGCGAACAAATCTAATAATGAGACGATTTGAGTTAAGAATATATTTTAGGATTTTTTGAAAAGGCGGTCCTATTGTAAAGTGAACTTTTTAAAAGTGCACACACACACACACACATTCACACATATTTAAAGCTTATGCTAAATATTTGTAACAGCATAACCTGAACACTGGTAATTCTCTTGCAGTTGGTACTGTTTGTTAGTTTAAATGAGGCATACCTGGTCCTAATTTTAATTAGTAGAAAGTGTGCTATGTATCTAGTACCATTAAGAACTGGAAAATTAAACATAAATTTAAAGTGATATGACTTAGTTGACTTGAATTGAACAAGTAATTTGTCTTACCACTAAGTAATATAAATTATCTCATTTCATTTTAATTTCATTGAAGTATTTTTCTAAATAGGAACTGAATAGTAAAATATTATTCTACTACTATTATAACAATAATAATTATAATAATAGTAATAGTAGTAGATTATAATAATACTAACTAAAATTATCCAGAGCAAAGTACCAATTGTTTACTTTATCTTGTGAATTTATCTACTACTTGCCTTTCTCTGTACTATCTTGGTGGCAGCGCAGTACAAGCAAAGTTAAAGTTCATATAAGTATATATTTTTTTAGTTCTAGGAGTAGAATTTAAGTATGTATTGTTATTCAGAATAGGTTAATGCCGTTTGTTCATTTTGTCTTATTTCTACCAGAGGGCAGATAAAACTTGCAGATTTTGGACTTGCTCGATTGTATAGTTCAGAAGAAAGGTAAGAGTACTTTCAAATGAATATTATAGGCATCAGAGTCCAGTGTTAGAAGCTACACTAAGAACATTCTATTAACAGTTTTATTTTTTAAAAAAGAGATTTACTTTATTGGATTAAATACACAAAACAATGACATTTTATACCATATTGGGTTGACTGTTTTAATGACAAAATGTTATATATTTTTAACTGAATTTAAAAATTGATTTTCAACACGTAAGTAAACTTTTTTTTTTTTTGAGTTGGAGTCTCACTCTGTCACCCAGGCTGGAGTGTAGTGGCACACTCACAGCCACCCCAGTGTCAACCTGCTGGGTTCCAGTGATCCTTCCTCCTCAGCCTTCCAAGTAGCTGGAAGTATAAGTGCACGCTACCATGCCCACCTAATTTTTTATTTATTGTAGAGATGAGGTCTCACCAAGTTGCCCGGGCTGGTCTTGAACCTGCAGACTCAGGCAGTCCACTCGCCTTGGCCTCCCAAAGTGCTGGGATTACAGACTGAGCCACTGAGCCTGGCCAGTAAACATTTTTTTTTAATGTTCAGCTTTAAATGTGACTGCAATGAACTTACAAATTTTTAAAATTTATACTTCAGTTTCTGATGCAGATCTAGTTACAAAGATGTTTTTAATATTTGTGTTTAGTGAAAACTAAACTAGCATATGCCTTTTATATTGTATGCTTAAACTTATAAACTTTGTTTTAATCATTATATTAGTCTTGGGTCTTTTTGTTGTGTCTACAGTTTCTGGGTTTTTTTGTTTTTGTTTTTATTTTGTTTTTGTTTTGTTTTAACTCCCTAGAACTTTTTATTTCAACAAACTGTTGTGAGGAAGTTCAATGTATAAGACAAAATCTGGATAGAATTTTTCTGGTTTAAGTTGGAGTATATATCCAGCTTTGTTTCCTTTGTTGCCTGGTGGTAGTGAAATATGATTTGTCTTATTAGAACAAATACAGAATTTCATCTGGCATGGTAGCTCATGCTTGTAATTCCATCACTTTGGAAGGCTGAAGTAGGAGGATTGCTTGAGCCCAGGGATATGAGATCAGCCTGGGCAACAAAGCGAAAAAAAAAAATAGAAAAATTAGCTGGGCATAATGAAGTGCATTTGTAGTCCCATCTGCTCAGGAGGCTGAAGCAGGAAAATTGCTTGAGCCCAGGATGTTGAGGCTGTAGTGATCTGTAATTGTGCCACTGCACTCTAGCCTGGGTGAATGAGCGAAACCCTGTCTCAATAATAATAATAATAATAATAATAATAATAATATGGAATTTTAAAATAAAATATTTGTTGCAGTAGTGAGTTTTATGATAAATAGCCCATGGAATAATTTGGCTTAATAAATTTCTGGTCACTTTAGCTTATTCCTCTCTGTCTTTATTTTCAGATTTATTTGTATATATATTTAATTTAAAAGTTCTTTATGACAAATCTGTCATTTTTTTAGTATCATCATAATTTAATACAACATCAGTTGATTGGAATTCTTAGAAATAGGTGTTTGCTTTCAGTGAATGTCTGCCAGTTTCTGGTTGGTTGGTGGAACTCTGGTATAAATTTCTAGAGTAAAACTCTGTCTTTTAATCTTGTAGTGCCTGTGAATCATTCTGAAAATTATTTTCATTGTTTAGTGTTTTAGGGTAGAGGCTTTCAAATAGTATATTTTGGATTTATTAGAATACTGTGAAGTGCCTCAGTCAGTGTGTTGTGAACGGAGTTGGCAGATCTACTTTCACCAGAGCTATTCTGTTTTTATTTTTTTTTCTTATTATACTTACCATTAGTATTTTATTTGAAGAAAGAATTGTATGGTTTTGTTTTGTGGTTTTTGAAGTTTAAAACTGTTACACAGCTTAAAAGCAACTTTGTTCTCTCATTTTGCATTTGGGAAAAACAAATTCAGAAAGGGTTGAGCGACTTATTATGTTTTTAATTGGCAAAAGTTATGTATTTATCATATGCAACAAATATTGATATATTTATATACATTGTGGAATGATTATATCAAGTTAATTAACATATGCATTGCTGCACAACTTTTTGTGGTGAGAACATTTAAAAACTACTGTTAGCAATTTTCAAGAATACAATATGTTGTTATTAATTATAGTTGCCATGTTGTACAATAGATCTCCTGAACTTATTCTTCCTAGCCAACTGAACTTTTATATCCTCTGACCAACTAACTGTTCCTCCCAACTTCCCCTAAGCCTCTGGTAATCACCAACTCTACCCTCTACTATGTATTCAACTCAGTCACTCAGGTTGGAGTGCAGTGACATGCTCATGACTCACTGCAGCCTTGAACTCCTAGGCTCAGGTGATCCTTCCACCTCAGCCTCCCAAATAGCTGCAGGCATGTGCCATCATGCCCAGGGAATCTTCTTTATTTTTTTGTGGAGATGAGGTCTTGCTCTGTGGCCCAATCTGGTCTTGAACTCCTGGCCTCAAGCTTCCCACCCTGGCCTCCCAAAGTGCTGGGATTATAGGCTTGAGCCATTGCACCTGGCCCGAATTCAACCTTTTTTTTTTTAGTTGGAGCCTCACTCTGTCATTCAGGCTGAAGTACATTGGCACGATTATGGCTACCCCAACCTCCACCTGCTGGGCTTAGGCTATCCTTCCATCTCAGCTTTCCAAGTATCTGGAATTACAGGCAGGTGCCACCATGCCTGGCTAATTTTTTGATTTATTGTAGAGATGAGTTCTCGCCAAGTTGCTGGGGCTGGTCTTGAATCCCTGGGCTCAGGCCGTCCTCTTGACTCCACCTCCCAAAGTGCCGGGATTATAGGTGCGAACCCAGCCTCGAATTCAATTTTTTTAGATTCCATATGTATGTGAAATAATGAGGTATTTTTCTTTCTGTGACTGGCTTATTTCACTTAACATAATGTACTCCAGGTTCATCCATGTTACAAATGACAGGATTTTCTTGTTTTTAAGGCTGAAAAGTTTCATTGTGTATATATTTATGCAACATTTTCTTTACCCATTCATTTGTTGATAGACACTTATGTTGATTCCATATCTTTACTATTTTGGAGGGTTGAGTAACTTTAAAGATTAAAAAATGTTGACTGAGCCAAAGGTATATAGTTCATCTCTCAAATTTTGATTCTTCTCATTATATATGTAATAGTGCCTCTTGGTAGAAATTGAAAAGAAAAATTGGTCTGAATGTGTACTTAGTTCAAAACTTCACTTGAAGTGTGATTTTTATGATTAAATTTCTGTGTCTATTCTTTTGAGGAAGTCCTAATTAAGAATTCTATCTGCTGAGCTGGTTGAGATTTCACTGTGGTTAGATTATCCTTAGTATGTGTCATATTTCAATATGAATCCCTTTCAGTGGAGATAGAAAACAGCTAGTTACCATTTTCATGTAATACATTCTTGTATGCAGATATTTGTGCACATTTAGAAAAGATATGTTCCAGAAAAACTTAACTGTAAAGCCAGATTTTCTATAATACTCTATTTTCCCATTGACTTTAATTTTTAAAATGGAATTTTGGGTTCTAGTGGAGTGCCAGAACTGTGATGTGTTCACTGGGCCGCATGGTCTCTGTTGCCCTACTGGATTCATATAGGAATTTTGAGTGTAGAGAAGCTGGAAAACTTAAATCCTATAACTTTACATCTTCAGGTAATGTGTACTGAGTTTTTCTACTCAAATTTATAAGAGAAAAATGGTGTAACATTTTGTTTATTAGCAAATATCCTATCCTTAGAGGGGTTTATGGACTCTTTTAAAACTTTTTTTATTTTTAGTTTTTTTTTTCTTTCTGGATTACTTTCTTATGCTAGTTTTCTAAATTATTTTAGATTCAAAGGGTACATGTGTAGTTTTGTTACATAGGTATATTGGATGATGGTGAAGTTTGGGCTTCTCTTGAGCCTTGTGCCTGTCACCCAGGTAGTGGACAGACTTAAGGTACCCAGTGGGAGATTTTTCAGCCCTTACCCTCCCCTTAAGAGTCCTCAGTGTCTGTTGTTCCCATCCTTATGCCCATACAATGGTTAACTCCCTCTTCTAAGTGAGAAAACTTTCTTTTTTTTGATTAGACTAATTCTTATGTCTTTAAAATCCATTGGAGAAGTAGGCTAAATATAATGGAATACCTTCGAGATACGTATATTATTCCAGTGAATTTTAATAGTGTATCGATTTTAAAATAAATAAATCCACCTTTAGCAGAATTCTTGTATTGTCCCAAATTTTCTAGATAGTTCTTGAAATAAATATACAGCAAATAATTTTCACTCAGTTTTCTACTTTGTTATTATAAATAGAAGTTAAGGTAAGGCTTTATCATAAAATACCCATGCAAATATTAAGTCACTTTGAAGTATTTTCTAAATAGCTACTATAGAAAGAATAACTTAAAGTGTTCAAGAATTTAGCACAAGGTTTTTCTTTTCAAAATAGAGCAGATTTCAGCTTATTCATTTATTAGCGTTAGCCGCATCTCTCTCACTCATTTGATTTTGTATATACTTTTTTGAATTGCGGAAAACTGGGGTAGTTACATCTAGTACTTAGGGGGAAATCTGTGACCAAACTATAGTAGAAGAAAGAAAGAGGACCACTGGTTTCAAATTAGAGGAGGGAGGCAGTGATTTCTTTAATCTTGAATGAGTTTCTAATTTTGAGCATTAGTATTCATACTTTGTCCCATACCGCTTGGGAACTATGGAACTTGAGAACAGAGGTATTTTGTCCCATTTCTTCATTACCTGTTTATCTTTCGGGACCTATTTAAGTATAATTTTTTCTGAGGCTTTCAACCACAATATTTTCCTCTTGTTAGTTTTTAATTTACCAGTGCTTTTCCCAAAGGGTAGAGTGTCTTTCTCTCTTTGTGTGACAGCCCCATATGAAAAAGCTTGTTTTGCACATTAGTTAAAATTAACCTCATTTTCTAGAGAAGAAACTGTAATGTAACACATTTACTTTTTTAATGCAAGGAACATAAAACCCTTGGTTTTAATTCA